AAAAAAGACAGGAGTAAGAAAAAATAATTTTAAAAGTATTCGAATAGATAGTCATGAACACTATATATGTATAAGTATAATTCTACCAAAAAAAATCTGCCAAGATGACCTAAAAAAAAAATTTTTTTTTAGGCAAGCCATGGGACCACTTTTGTCGTGTTCCACATACCCTCTGAAATGTGAGAAAAATTATTAAACTTATAGAAATTTAGGCTTATTTTAATTTTTTTCCAATAGATGGTCTACAAGCAACCCTTGTGAAGTGCTCGCCTTCGACTTTCATGCAACTGTGAGATGTAAAACATAAAGAAAATAAAAGAGACGTTTTTTTTGTCTTTCGTGGAAAATCGTTTTTAGGGGGTAAAAATAACCCGTCAATATCACCCCTGCCAATAAACTTTTTTGACTATTTCTAAAAAATTGGATATTGATGTCATTTTAACATGAAATTGTTTGCTGTAAAACGACAGTTTTTTTATGGTTGTTTGGACCCTAAACAATTGCATTCCATCATTTTGTCAGTAAATTTTTGTATTTTTAAAAATTTTTCGAATGCGAAATTTTCTTAATTCAAGAGTACATAACAACCATGAATAGAGTTTTTGATTAAATCCGCGAAACACTGTGAATATAATTTTTTGTTTTATTTCCGACTAAGTACTTTTTTGTTAAATCAAAGGTGTTACCCAAATTCGGTATCGAGAAGTTGTAAAAAGAAAAAAAAAAAAAAANCAATACATAATTGAGCTTTCGAATTATATCAATATTACATTTTTTTAGAAATATTGAAAGAAGTTTATTTGCAGTGGTAATTTTAAAGGGTTGTTTTCACCCCCTACAAATGCTATTCCACCTATAAAAAACCCTCTTCTCTTATTTTTATATGTCCTACGATACATTAAAGTTTTATGAAAGTCGGAGGTGGTCATCTTACAAGGGTTTATTGTAGTCCATCCATTAAAAAACAAAAAAAAAATTAAAAAAAAAAAAAGATTAAATGATCTTAAGTTTTCAAGTTCACGATTTTTTCACATTTCAGAGGATATGGGGAACATGACAAACATTGTCACGAGACTGTTTTGAAAAAAAAAGAAGATAGTTTAGAAAATCTAATAATTTTATAATAATTTGTACTGTACCAAGACTATTATAAGTCAAATTGACTAATTAACCATTAGAAAAAAAATGTGATACATCAAAAGTGTAATAATATAGTTCTATGGAGCGATAAGTGATACTATCCTCAATATATGTAACAGTTACTTGCTAAAATTAAATGAATCTTTTGTAGTCTCGACTATGTTTTATACTTATTTATTGATAATTTACTTATTAGTATTAATGATAGCACACATTTAAATATTGTTCTATTCTTACCGAAATTTCCATTGATAATATTATATTGTCACTCGTATAATTTTTTATTTTTCTATGCAAGTAATTAGTATATGTTAATATATTCATATTTTATTTGAATCACCAAAAAGCGTCTTCCCAAAAAAAGTTGTATTAAAAAACTATGTGGAACATAGCCAAAAATAAACAAATTACTAGTTTGGCGTTGTTATTAATCGAATTCTTACTTTTTTTAACCTATAAAAATAACAATAGGCAAAAAACTTGTTTGAAGTATAAATGTAAAAGGTATAAGTACTTTGACTGTTGATTATTTCCCCCTGCTTTTTTAATTAAAAGTTCACTCATGCGTGAACAAACATTTTTCACGCAATCGTTAGTCGTAAAATTACGTACGAAATTGTGTGATGATTCATAATTATGAGAATTTTTTTCTGCAATATACATACTTGGGGTTAATGCAGCCTACTAGACATTAAATGAATGGTTCATAAAGTTTTGGAAGCCATGGCTACTTTTTCAGATTGCTGTTTATGTGCTCCAATAGAACTTTGATGCGAATGATAAATAAAGCTAAATTTTGCTTTTTTTTCTTTGCAAAAATTTTCATTATAAGCACTTGATCTTATTTTTTATAACATTCTTTAATAATCACCATATGGCCTCATCACTTTTTGGCACGAATAATAATTCATATTTCGTTTTTTTAATTTTTATGTATGCTGCACTTACTTTGACCGCTATAATTCGCATTACTTCATGAGCATACATACTGACTCATTTATTTTACTCAACAAACGATAATGATTGTAAAATAGAGTTAAACTCGATTTTTTTCAAACTATCACTAATAACTAGTTAACTTAAAAACTATTAATTTAATTCTTACAAACTGAAAACTATAATTCTTAAAAATTTTCCTTCACTCTGAATACATTAATATATTCCGTTTATATTGTAAGTTATTAGTTTGTATAAAATTTGAAGTGGGAGAATTTGTAAAATGAGAATAACAAGCTGAATATCACAAAGAAAAATAGTAAAGTCAGGTCGGAAAAACGGTAAGTTATGTCACTGCCGTTATTTTTCCTTAACTCAGAATGTAATAAAATTATTACGAATGTATCTTTATTACACTAGCTAGTATTAAATGCAATTTGCGCGAGGGAAAATCAGTTTAAAGAGAGTTACGTACTTATTATTGTAAAAACTAGCTTATTTGGATCGAAAACGTGCGGGTAATAATGACGTAGAAAATTTTCCCTAAGTCCGACATTCGTGAAAGGGTAAAATACAAATGATTATTTACTAAACTTGCTACAGTTGCAAAATGGGCGTGGGAATATTGAAACTATCTGAGTTATAAGCGATTATATTCATGTACATGGTTAATACGCACATAAAAATCCTAATTTACGTTGCCAAAAATTTTCTAGGCTCCAAATACAACAATATTGGAAATTATTATTGTCTTTATTGTAATAAACTATTTAGCAAAAAATGGGCGAGGGAAAATTAATTTTAAAAAATCACCTGGGCGAGTGCTCTAAACTTCAGACACATTGAGCCACCTTAAGAGAAAAAAGTTACATCCATAGAGGTATAAGAATACCTTTTTATACCTCAATGGTTACATCTCATGAGCCTGGAAGAGTGCTTCAGTGTGCATATTCTGAAATGTAATTTTTTTTTTCAAAAACCATGACAGGAACGGTATTTGTCTATTTATTTTAGAGGCTCCATCTAAATTTCAGATAGCTCAATACATCACTTTTTGAAAAAAGTTACATCTCAGATTGAGCAAACTTCAGAATCACTTAACTCGTCGGAGGGGGTCGCGAATATCTAACCGTTTAGTGTACATAGAATTTAGGCTTTGGGATTAATTTTTTAAAGTATCAAAGCGGGGGCTCTTTTTGTTATGTTAGGTTTTAACAGCTAGATAAATAGTTATTAAGGATAATTTCTTAAATTTGTGAAGTCAGTTAAGTAAAAAGTCCAGATGATAGTCTAAATGCTCCTTAAACAGCTTGATGGCCAAAGTACCAGCTTGGGGGCTCTTTTCGTTACGTTGGGTGGAAACAGTTGGATTATTCGTTATGAAGGATAATTTCTCAAATTAGCGAAGTCAGTAAAGTGGAAACTCCAGATGATATTCTTAATGCCTTGTAAAAAGTTTGGTAGTCATAAACAGTATTTTTATTTCCCCTTAGTGGACTAAAGTTCTAAGTAGATAAGCACTTCATAGTCCCATATCATGAGCAAAAATATAGCCTAACATAACACACTACAAATTGTAGCACAGAAGGACTCTTTTTTTTTAACGTAATTGCTTCTTATATTATCCTTACTATAAATATCAATGCTGAAATCAGTCGTAAATAAAATCAATAATTCTGCGTTGATCCTATGTTGTTTCAGTGTTAAATTAGCGATGATTCTGTCGACGTTTTTAGTTGATTCCAAAATAATGTCTTTTTTCATGTTAAGTAGTTTGTATTAACCCTTAAAGCACATCATAAGTTTTGTAAAGCAGACCTGTGCACTTGTCACGCAATTACATAAGAACTGCGTAAGAAATGCAGAGGGTTTGCTTCTCAAAACTTATACGATATGCTACTAGGGAACAAACTTACAATAAGTAGTGAGCAAGGACTTGTTTATTACGTGTAAATCATATAAATCAATTGGATTAATGAGAGGAAAGTGATAAGTAAATGTATTTAAAGATCATTCGATGCTAGTGTTCGGGACATCCTGCGTGCCGAATACTAACTTAGGAGGCAAAAAGTCGAACCCCTTTTTCGTCTGACAAACTTCTGAAACGCTTATACCAAATTTTTCTTAAAAAATTTGTATAACATTCAAGAAACCATGTCATGAATCATCAGCTCATGATTGTATAAAAAATTTTTTAAAGCTGAGCTTTTAACTCATTCAAAAATTTGAGTTCCGTTGTAACATAAACAATTTAGTAACACATAGCATGTACAATAATTTTCCATTATAACATACATAGCAGGAAGAAATCTTGATGAAAGTGAATTTTTTTAGGTGGGGTGATAATCATCAAAACGCCAAAGTTTGTCGAGAGAAAAATATAATTCAAGTAATTTACACACCATGAGATCCGCAATGCAAATAGTACAACTTTTTTAATTGATAAGATTAAATTATTTTCAAAACTTTGTGAGTTAAGTTATAATTATCAGGAGTTTTAAGAGACTAACGAGAAAAACAAAGCATTCAGTCAGATTTTGCTGTAACCTAGTAACTAAAAACCAAGTTGTATCGTGTGGAAAACTTGAACAGTTCAGTGTACAATAAAAAACGGAAGAAAACATAACGTTATTATAGTGGCTAGTTTCCTGTACAAACAAAAACTATGACCATATGCTAGCACCACATTAAATATGTAGTGAAAACATGGAATTACCATGTTCAGACTGATAATTAGCTAATAGTTACATTAATTATCTAAAAAGTTAGGTGAGGGGTGAAATTTCAAAATAATTGCTTATTTTTGCAACAAACCAAAAAAATTAATTAAAAGTAATCTATTAACGTATTGTATAGATTTATTCAATGACAACTCTTAAGGTATATTCGCAAAAAAAAGAAAAGCATATACAAAAACTACTTACCATCTTTAAATTCTTCTTGGAAATATATTTCGGCATGAGCTGTATACAACAGTAAAATAATAGTGCAATAGTGAAACATTTTAAAAATAATTTGTATCAATTTAAAATAATTTCAATCGACTTCAGCTTAATTGCTCTTATACTGCGATTGGGCTAAATAATTCAAGCGTTTGTTACACACGAACACTTCAAGCCCTGCAAGACAGATGGACAAAACTGATTGGTTAATTGTGAACAACGAATCAGGTCTCACCACGCTTAAAACTGTTTCTATAAGGGCTAATCTGCAACTAAAAAATACTTCTGCATGCGTCTCCTAGATAGGCACGCTCGATTTTCATCGTTCGTTCGTTTGGTTCGTTCGTTTCGTTCGTACAGATCGCTAATATCCTAGAGGAAGCGAACAAGCCGTGACAGCATACAGATGGTAGACAGAGAAAGAAGATTGTGTTGGTCTTGCATCTCTCTCTGCTCTTATCCTGATTGGCTATCTTAAATGCCCTCTTCTAATTCAATATATATACCGACTGCTCTACTATGACTACTACTATATACACTGTCAAGCAGCAGCCAATCAATGCAGAGAGCAGAGAGAGATGCAAGACCAAAACAGTCGTCTTCCTCTGTCTACTGNACATAGCAGGAAGAAATCTTGATGAAAGTGAATTTTTTTAGGTGGGGTGATAATCATCAAAACGCCAAAGTTTGTCGAGAGAAAAATATAATTCAAGTAATTTACACACCATGAGATCCGCAATGCAAATAGTACAACTTTTTTAATTGATAAGATTAAATTATTTTCAAAACTTTGTGAGTTAAGTTATAATTATCAGGAGTTTTAAGAGACTAACGAGAAAAACAAAGCATTCAGTCAGATTTTGCTGTAACCTAGTAACTAAAAACCAAGTTGTATCGTGTGGAAAACTTGAACAGTTCAGTGTACAATAAAAAACGGAAGAAAACATAACGTTATTATAGTGGCTAGTTTCCTGTACAAACAAAAACTATGACCATATGCTAGCACCACATTAAATATGTAGTGAAAACATGGAATTACCATGTTCAGACTGATAATTAGCTAATAGTTACATTAATTATCTAAAAAGTTAGGTGAGGGGTGAAATTTCAAAATAATTGCTTATTTTTGCAACAAACCAAAAAAATTAATTAAAAGTAATCTATTAACGTATTGTATAGATTTATTCAATGACAACTCTTAAGGTATATTCGCAAAAAAAAGAAAAGCATATACAAAAACTACTTACCATCTTTAAATTCTTCTTGGAAATATATTTCGGCATGAGCTGTATACAACAGTAAAATAATAGTGCAATAGTGAAACATTTTAAAAATAATTTGTATCAATTTAAAATAATTTCAATCGACTTCAGCTTAATTGCTCTTATACTGCGATTGGGCTAAATAATTCAAGCGTTTGTTACACACGAACACTTCAAGCCCTGCAAGACAGATGGACAAAACTGATTGGTTAATTGTGAACAACGAATCAGGTCTCACCACGCTTAAAACTGTTTCTATAAGGGCTAATCTGCAACTAAAAAATACTTCTGCATGCGTCTCCTAGATAGGCACGCTCGATTTTCATCGTTCGTTCGTTTGGTTCGTTCGTTTCGTTCGTACAGATCGCTAATATCCTAGAGGAAGCGAACAAGCCGTGACAGCATACAGATGGTAGACAGAGAAAGAAGATTGTGTTGGTCTTGCATCTCTCTCTGCTCTTATCCTGATTGGCTATCTTAAATGCCCTCTTCTAATTCAATATATATACCGACTGCTCTACTATGACTACTACTATATACACTGTCAAGCAGCAGCCAATCAATGCAGAGAGCAGAGAGAGATGCAAGACCAAAACAGTCGTCTTCCTCTGTCTACTGACCGTACGCTTCCACTTACAGAAGAATATACAGTTCGCTTCCTCTATTATATTATCTCTATGGTCAACATAGTTGCGACCATACTAGGCTTAGTTGCCTGATCCTGATGGAGCGCTTACCGGTCGCTTTATTAAACGATATATATCATTAATTTATAGCACAAGCGACTGTCACCCGATGACCCAGGGTGCTTACTGGCCTCTGTATTAAATAATAAAATATTAATTAACACCACAAGCATCTATCACCTGGTGACCGTTGTGCTATTAATTAATGATATATATTGTTTAATAAAGCAACCAATAAGCGTCCCGGGTCATCGGGTGATAGGCGCTTGTGCTATTCATTAAAAATATATATCGTTTAATAAAGCGACCAGTAAGCGCTCCAGGTCATCGGGTGATAAAGGCGCTTGTGTTAATAATTAATAATTAGAACGAAGTTCTGTATGTCACGTTACTCGGGGGGCTGGAATTTTAAAAACCGACAGATTTTTTTTTTTTGGAGCGAAAGTTTTTTATCCAAAGTCTCTTCCTCTCAAGTTTCCCCCCTTACCCTGTCCCCCTCACCAGCTGTTCACACTTCCCCTCTCCCCACTATATATGTATATCTGCCAACCGAACCGTGTTACTCTTCTGCACACCTTTACCCCTCACACTCCCAAGCAATTAATTTTTAAACAAATTTTAATTTTATTTTCCCACAATAACTTTAATTTGACTTTGAATTTTTTTTTACAATTTAAAAAAAAAAAAAAAAAAAAAAAATACATTTTATATAAAGAGATTTGAACCCTCGACCTCCTGCATATGAGTCCAGTACCTTACCCGCTCTGCTACGAGCGCTGCCGACTGTAGGAACTCGGTTTCTTGTACTTATGGTGTGGTTCGTAACTATAACATTCCATTTTTAAATGTGTTGACTAATAATAAATTCAATTACGTATTTGTTTTATAAATTATGTATTTGTTTTCTAAATAATACATCTAAAAAAAAAAAAAAAAAGAAA